TAACTCCAAAAGCACCATGCCTTCTATGGATATACTGTTTGTCATGCTGTTACCACCTTGGTGAATGGAAAACATGGGCAGGAGGCAGGCATGCTCTAAAGCCCCCTGTAGGGTCAGGAATCCCTAGAAGCTGGGATAGACCACAAAGCTCTCGAAGTCTCTGAGCTGAGAATGGAATCAGATGGACATTGAGAGGGGCAAGGCTGAATGAATGAGTGAATAAGGTAGTGGATTAATGAATGGATGATATTATGAACGAGAGAATAAATGAATGGAAAAGTGAATTAACTGAATTAATGAGTGTGGATGTATGAATAAAAAATTAAAGTGAGAATGGATGAGTACTTAAATAGGGAAACAAATGGTGACTGAATCATACAGTTTTGAGTGCATTGTATCTAATACTTCTCACCTCTTTTTCCCTCTGCTTTCAGTGTCCTTTATTTCTCCATCCATCGCTATGAACATGGCCAGTTCTGGCCTCACCTTAAGGCCTCTAACTGGTCTGCTACAGGCTTTGGCCAAGGCCAGGGATACAACATCAATGTTCCTTGGAACCAGGTTAGTGCTGCATAGTTTCTGCTCCTACAGTGATTCCTACCCTGCTCTCAGCCAAACCAAGGAAGATTATAGCGACTGACTCCATCATACCTGTTTGCAGGTGGGGATGCGGGATGCTGACTACATTGCTGCATTCTTGCACATCCTGCTGCCAGTTGCCTTTGAGGTGCTGGGGTCCCTAGGGACAGGGTAATTTGGAGGGATGGGCTACAAAGCCCAGGGCCTCATATAGTCTGTTCTCTCCTCAGTTTCAGCCCCAGTTGGTCCTAGTGGCTGCTGGATATGATGCCCTCCAAGGAGACTCCAAGGTAAGGTAGGATCCTTTGGGTGGCAAGGAGGCAGAGGGCCTTCATAGAGCCAGGCTGACCCTGTCTATCCTTCAGGGTGAGATGGCTGCCACTCCAGCAGGATTTGCCCAGCTGACCCACCTGCTCATGGGTCTAGCAGGAGGCAAGTTGATTCTGTCTTTAGAGGTGAGTGATGCACCATGCATACAATTCTTGCTATTACCACCACCTTTGTCTTGGAATGTGGATTCTAGAGCACTTGAGCCAGATTTCAAATCCACACAGGGCTTTGATTCTAGCATTTCTATTTACTAGGTCTGCCACTTAACTTCTTTATTCTTTAGCTTTTCTTACGTAAAGCAAACATAGTGATTTTATCGGTCCCTTAATTCACTGTCTAGTGACTTAATTGAAGTCACCCTGTAAATTCTTTGGTTTATTATAATTATCACTTAAGAATAGCTGGTCCTCTCTTGACCCCCTCATAACTCCTGCTTTCAGGGTGGCTACAACCACCACTCCCTGGCTGAGGGTGTCAGTGCTTCGCTCCACACCCTTCTGGGAGACCCTTGTCCCATACTTGAATCCTCTGGTGTCCCCTGCTCAAGGTGAGTCCAGGTACGCGGAATGGATGCATGGGTGAGAGGGACTCTCTCACTCAGGGACTATTGCATTCATTCTTCACCTCCTCTGCCCTCCAGTGCCCGAACTTCAATCTCCTGTACTCTGGCAGCCCACAAGCCCTTCTGGAAGGTCCTTGTACAATCTGGTAGGAAGTGGGAAAGTGTGCTTTGTACAGCGGGTTAGGCATGAAGTGAATGGTAGAGAAGACCCTCTTCTAGATCCCTTTCTGACTTTCTTGGGCCACCTTGGTAAGGAAGGTCAGGCTCTATCTCTAGGTCCTGATTCTAGAGCTTTTACCCCTTTTATAGAGACTGTGTATGTATGTG